GTTTTTAAAAGATACAAAGGGAAGACTTAAGCATAAAATAGTATGTACATTAGAACAATTTAGATCTACTGCATTTACTACATCTAGTACAGTGTAAATGTAGTATTAGGCATGAATTTACCCCCTGTAGACCTTATTAATAGTCCATGCTTGTTGTGTGTCTATACGTGCATGCTTGTCGTTTTTATTTCAATCAACGACGCTTGTATGAGCGACACAACGAAATGAACAGTGAATTTTTGTGCAAATGGTCATGATCCAAGTACAGGCGTTGTTTCGGGGAGATCATGATGACAAGGAATTTCATACCATCGAGTCCACCACAAACTAAGTTAAAAAATAAGTAAGATCTTCACCGATTGGCTTTATCCTAGTTCATACACTCACAGAAAATATCCCAAATTTTGAAATCGATTGGATTATTAGTTTTTGAGTTATCGTGTCCGCCATCAAAAATAAGGACTTTTCTTTGATCCCAAACAAAAACAACAAACAATTTTTGTAATTTATTTTTCTTCCTTTTTAAATCTTTAAATATATACACCTTAGTCTGTTTTTACACGGTAGATTGGTTCCAGCAGAAACCGTGTAAAAAAGGGAATTCCCCTAAATTAGTGGAGGGGATATCTTTTCTTGGGGGACGTACCTGGTTACCCGGTTATTTGACCCGGATGTTCGGGTACCTGGTTATATCGGGTTCAACGGATCCTGTTAATATAAAATGGGTATCACCACTCAATTGAAAGGTATTTTTATAACCTTTAAAATGATACCCATTTTATATTAACAGGATCCGTTGAACCCGATATAACCAGGTACCCGAACATCCGGGTCAAATAACCGGGTAACCAGGTACGTCCCCCAAGAAAAAAATATATCCCCATAGTTAGGGTAAAAATACCTAGCTCTGGAAAAAATTTCAGAAAAATCTGATCGTTTTTACTAAATTAGAGTTGTTCAAATTTTTTATTTTTAAGATTTTAAATTGGCTGGTAAATGAATAACAATGCTTGTTAATGTTTGTAACTTTACACATACACCTAAACAACAATTTTTACTGGTCAAAGCAAATGTGAATATCACTAATTTAGGGGAATTCCCTTTTTTACACGGTTTCTTATGGAACCAATCTACCGTGTAAAACAGACTTAGGTGTATATATTTGAAGATTTAAAAATGAAGAAAAATAAATTACAAAAATTGTTTGTTGTTTTTGATTGTGATCAAAGAAAAGTCCTTATTTTTGATGGCGGACACGATAACTCAAAAACTAATAATCCAATCGATTTCAAAATTTGGGATATTTTCTGTGAGTGTATGAACTAGGATAAAGACAATCGGTGAATATCTTACTTATTTTTTAACTTAGTTTGTGGTGGACTCGATGGTATGAAATTCCTTGTCATCATGATCCCCCCGAAACAACACCTGTACTTGGATCATGACCATTTGCACAAAAATTCACTGTTCATTTCGTTGTGTCGCTCATACAAGCGTCGTTGATTGAAATAAAAACGACAAGCATGCATGTATAGGCACACAACAAGCATGGACTATTAATAAGGTCTACAGGGGGTAAATTCATGCCTAATACTACATTTACACTGTACTAGATTTAGTAAATGCAGTAGATCTAAATTGTTCTAATGTACATACTATTTTATGCTTAAGTCTTTCCTTTTTATCTTTTAAAAACTAAGGCAATTTTTCAACATTTTTTAAATATATTGAATTAAAAAACTGAACAAAGTTAGCTTCGGCAAAGACATCGAACATTTCAAACATATCTAATATATTTTCATTCATATATATTTACTACAAGAAAAGTTATTATAAATTTCCGTAAAATACCACAGGTGGGACACCTTTGAACATACCCAGTAAACTCCAGTAAAAAACGGAGTTTTTGACTTTTGGCTTAGATTTTTCAAAAATTTCAAGTGGGATAATAAGATTACGAAACTAGATGTATTTTGCACCATATAAATTTTAGTTTTTATGTAATTTTATGTTTTAATAAATTTTGATCAGAACTATTTGATTATCGAATATTTTTGTATATATTTTTTAATAAATTAATATATTTCTGATATATATGAATAAAATACATATATATTTGAACATAAACACTGTAAAAAACCATGCCGTTCAAAAATACCGAGCTGTGTTTAAAGGTGCCCCCTGGGGGGCAGTTTTGAACACTTTGACTTCGTCCATTAAAACAGTAATAAAATATATATATCATGCTTAAAGTATGTCATATGTATATTCATTTTGAATGTACCTCTTAGTTAAAACTTATAAGAAGCAAAAAATTTTATGAGGCTTCAAAGAAAAAAGTGTTCAGAGGTGCCCACTCTCCCCTACTTATTGCTTGTTAATATGAAATCACCACAGAAAACCTTTTTGTACATTTTCAGAAATTCACCTGAATTGCCTGATATTTGGGCCATGGCTTCCATCGCAAAAATATTGCAATTCTCTTTCTATTTGAATTGTAGTTTAAACCTAAGCATTAAAATGTGATTTAATTTTAAAATTAATTTTATTATGTTTACAAAGTGATTATAGTTATGCTAAATCCGTGGCATAATTACGCAAGGTAGTCTCATGCTGACATATGATTCCAATTTTTTTCATAAATTTAATTTGCTAATATTCAGTTTTTAAATTTTAATGAAAGTTTCCCCCTTAAAAATGCATGGGTGAATTGTGTTATATGGCAAAAAGTGCAAAGTAATGTATATTATTTTACAGTTTGAAAATTTCTGACCTCTTTCATTTGTTACCATCACTATGTTCGAGGTTTGAATAGGGAGGCTTCCAGAGCCAATTTCGCGTCCTGACCACCAGTTGGAAATCAGAAATTCAGCAACTTTGTTCTACAAAAAACTGAATCTGAGCATACGGTGGATACCAAAATACTCGTAGATACTCTCTCTTTCATTTTGTACCATCACTATGTTCGAGGTTTGTATAGGGAGGCTTCCAGAGCCATTTTGGTGTCCTGACCACCAGTTGGAAATCAGAAATTAAGCAACTTTGTTCTACAAAAAACTGAATTTGAACAAATGGTGCATACCAAAATACTCGTAGGGACTCCCTCTTTCATTTGGTACCATCACTATGTTCGAGGTTTGTATAGGGAGGCTTCCAGAGACGGACTTCTCTCCTGATTCACTGGATTAAAATTTTTGTGATTTAGTAATACTTTAGTTTTAGATTATAATAAAATATGTTTCAAAATTTTCGTATTGTTTATTATTTTTCATTACTAATGAATTATGTTAACATTTTTATTAATAATTTTGAAAAATTATTTTTTATAATATTCTGCGCTATCTCTGTTGGAAAACACTGTTGATAAAAAAAGTATTAAACGTGAAATTGTGATGTTCTGTGTCACCCTGTAATTTCGATAAAAATTTGGATATCGAAAGTTAGCGATATCGCTAACTTCACGCAGGTTGTTTATTAAAAGATCTTGTTTTTGACATTAGACTTGAGAAAAAACAGCTGTTTTCCGATTTTTATTGCTATCTTGGTGACCTTATTAATAGATCTTGGTTAACGCGATAGCAAAAAACGCTCAACGCGAACATTCTGTTTAACCCTTTAGACTTTTTGATTTTTGCCCCTGAGTCTGCTTTTCCACAGGCAGATTTTTATTTGGCAAATTTTTTGTTTTCATTTTTGAAATTTTCGCTTGCTTTTCCATTACCAAATTTTTCTTTGCCAAATTTGCGAATCAAAGTACAAAAGAAAGAAAAAACGTCAAAAGTGTTTGCGTTTTAAAGACTTTTTTAATATTTTATTTATTTTTTATATATTTTATTATATAAATTGCAAATATTAAAAATTAAATTTCACTTGCACAAATTAAAACAACAGGTTTGTAAACAAAAGCCGGCTGTGTGTCAGTAAAGCGAATAGGTTCAAAAGGAAATGTCAACAAAATTGTTTTCAACGAAAAGAGCAAAGCAGAATTTGCGTGTACGGCAAATTCTGAACAGGCAAATTTTTGTTTTTCTTCCTCGCACCCCTCTCGCCTACAAACTCAGTATTTGCCAAATAAAAATCTGTATATAAATTGCAAATATTAAAAATTAAATTTCACTTGCACAAATTAAAACAACAGGTTTGTAAACAAAAGCCGGCTGTGTGTCAGTAAAGCGAATAGGTTCAAAAGGAAATGTCAACAAAATTGTTTTCAACGAACAGAGCAAAGCAGAATTTGCGTGTACGGCAAATTCTGAACAGGCAAATTTTTGTTTTTCTTCCTCGCACCCCTCTCGCCTACAAACTCAGTATTTGCCAAATAAAAATCTGCCTGTGGAAAAGCAGATCTTTCGATTTTGCGTTGTCAACATGCATATAATAACGCCGTCAGACATTAACATTTCATTTCAGTATGGCTCGGTTCTCTGACTGCAGCTGCTGTGAGAGTATGTGTTGTAAACAATACGGTTCTCATTTAGTCTCCATCCCACCGCATTCGTAATATTTCGGTAATACCGCTTTGAGTTCATCTTTATCGGTCATTTTGTCTTCTCCTCCCATTCGTTAGTAGGTGGAACGTTTTTCAATTTTTCTTCAGTCGATGAAAAGTGTTTATAAAAATATTTTATATTTTGCGTGAAAGTATTTCTTTATGAATAATGCTAGAATATTTTGAAGAAAATAAAACCCCATACAAACTGCCTTCGATTAAGTAAATGTTTTAAAAGGTGTAATGGTTAGTAATTGTGTTTGTTAGGTAAATGTTGCGTGTTGACAAATTACTATATGTACAAGTATTCCCAAAATTGACCTATAAATAAATAATTTGCAAAGTTTTAGATTTTAATTACATTGGAAGAGTTTGTTGTTTATAGCAACAACTGACATATAAACATATATGAAGTAAATTACACGTTGACGGGCAATAACAATAAAAATAATTTCGTAAATCTGTCTTTATACACGCTGGGCATTTTGTAATTAATTGATTTTTTTATAATTGATTCAGTCAGTAAATAACATGACGAAAGACTATGATTACTTGTTGAAAGTATTATTAGTAGGTGATAGCGATGTTGGAAAACATGAAATTTTATCTGGCCTGGAGGATGCATCGTCTGAAAGTCCATTTTGCAGTGGCAATGGTAATATAGGTTAAATACCTGCTTGTTTTGATTGTTTAATTGACATTAACTTACTTTTGCAGCGTATAAAACTACCACAATACTTCTGGAAGGAAAACGAGTAAGACTACAGTTATGGGATACTTCGGGACAAGGCCGCTTCTGCACGATAATACGTTCATATTCTAGAGGCGCACAAGGCATTATATTGGTCTATGATATTACAAATAAATGGAGTTTTGATGGAATCGACCGATGGCTGAAAGAAGTTGAAGAGGTAAAGATAGTATTATAAAATCATGATAGTGTAGTAACTTTTCATTTAAACAAGTGGGAAGTCTATACTTCCCGAGAATTTGACAAAATTAAACAAACCCATATGGTTCGGTCAGTTGGTTAAATATACATAGGTTTGGTGTTAACTTGTCCATGAGTAATGAAATTTTAATACATGGTTAAAACATATAAAACTGAACGATAATACACAAATTATTATATATTATTTTGACACCATAACTAATGGTATGTTTTGCTAATACAAGCTTTCTAGCGCGGGACTTATTTATATTCCCCACCACTTACGCTAAAAATATTCTATATTAATGTGAAACAGCTTTTCATTGTTTTGATGCAATTTGGTGCAACAAGTACAACAGAGAATACAACAACGAATAATGGAAATGAATCTGCGATTGAATTAATTAATTCACAGTTTATTATTTCACTACATAATTATGTGCCTTTTTATTTAATTTCGACATTTATTTCCTCAGATTCTTAAAGTGGCCTGTTATGATATGATTTGCTCCTACTCTTTTCATTCTTCCATCAAATCATCCACACGATAATTTTGGAAAAAAATAAATATTTTTTTTTTTCTTTCATAATTTTTATTTAAGTTTTTCACTGTTAAGCGGCTCATCAGGCAAATTTGGTTTTTCCATAATTTTTAAAAATTTTTTTCTTGAGAGACAGAGAGACAGATCCTCACCCAAAATGTCTGTATTTCGCCTCCAAAATGCATCAAACTCGACTTAAATATTCCTTATTACCTTCATACATTCCTTGGCAATACTTGGTTCAGCATGCATTGTTATCAATAGGATTTCCAATGGCATTTTATTGGTTGTTATCCAGTTAAAAATTAGCTTACTATCATTTATAATATTCTAAATCTTCATAGAATAAGTATTGTGTAAATATTTTTCATAAAAATAGTTATTACTTATGTTTTTGTAGTCAACTCCCTATAAATTTATTAGCGAAAAATTTCGCATAAAATTTCATCTCATTCTCCTATTCCCTGTAATTCAGAATACTTAATTTTTCCCCAATGCGGATTTTTTCGCTTTCGAACTTCATTCAGAATAAGGCGAAAACGAGAATGCGAAAAAATGCACAGGAAAATGTTGTTCAGAATAAGCCGAAGGGGAAGAGCAAGTAAATCCACATGGAATTGACATCCAGAATGCTTATTCTATGACGATTTAGAATATTATACATGATAGTAAGCAAATTTTTAACTGCAAAACAACCAATAAAATGCCATTGGAAATCCTATTGATAACGATGCTTGCTGAACCAAGTATTGCCAAAGAATGTATGCATGTAATAAGGAATAATTAAGTCGAGTTTGATGCATTTTGGAGGCGAAATACAGACATTTTGGGTGAGGATCTGTCTCTCAAGAAAAAAATTTTAAAAATTATGGAAAACCCAAATTTGCCTGATAAGCCGCTTAACAGTGAAAAACTTAAATAAAAATGATGAAGAACAAAAAATATATTTTTTTAAATTATCGTGTGTATGATTTGAAGGAAGAAATAAAGGAGTAGGAGCAAATCATAACATAACAACCCACTTTAAGAATTTGGGGAGATAAAATATCGGAATTAAATAAAAAGGCACACAGTTATGTAGTGAAATAATAAACTGTGAATTAATTAATTCAATCGCAGATTTTTTCCTGTTATTCGTTGTGTTTTTGCTATCATAAAAAAAATGTTCTTTTATTTGTAATCTATTGTAGTTGTTGCAACAAATTGCATCAAAACAATGAACAGCTGTTTTACATGCCATATTGTAGGTTGCCATATTTTCAAACTTTAATTTATTTTCTTTTAATTACAAAGCATTTATACAGCGGATTCCTGATATTTCACATTTGTATTGCTAGAAAGTTTAAATAACAATAAAAAGTAAAAAATTTTAATAACAAAAATCAATAAATAATATATTGAAAAATTTTACACAATTAAATTACAATGGGGCAACACACATTGCAACTTAAATTACAATATGGCCACACACATTGCAACTTAATTTACGATATGGCAACACGAATCTTTTTTCGAAAACTCGCATCCGCATCTCGCATTTTTTGCATCTCCCTATTCATTCAGAATAAGGCGAGAATGTGAAAGCGAAATTTTTTACATGCGAGATATCTCCCTAGCAAATATCCAGAATAAGGCTGTATGTGTTTTTAGGCCGTCCGTCTTTTGAAATCACTCAATATTTAAGATAGATTTGACATTTTGAACTGACTGCTTTTACTCCCAGTTTGTTAGGTATTGAAAATGGAATATATTGGCCCCCGTTTTTGTACGCTCCAATACAAAGGTCCCAAACAATTTTCGATATGTATTTATTCATTCAGAAATAAATAAATTTAGTTATGAATTCATTGTGTTAAGCTGTGATGATTGGTTTAATTCCCCTAATATATATTATTATCTGTCTTATATTGCGAATAAAACGTATTTGCAAGATAGAAGTGATGAAAATTGCATAACTCATTTTTAATTTCGTAATAAAGCAATCGAAGTAATTAGGAGACTTAAAGTCGTAACGCACAAAGATGTGTCTGCCAATAAAACAACAACAACAAATTTTGAATAAAAGAAAAAAAGGAAGATAATTACATGAAGTGGTTGGTTTAGATGTTGGACGGTTGAATTTTAATTTTTTTGTGTCTAAACAATCTGTTGATCAATTTTATATTCCGTGTGTTCCTGAGGGTGTTTATGATGGTTTTTCGTAAAATCAAGTCTAAAGCTGTTGGGTATGATGACTTTTATCATACGATGATTGCAGCGTCTGTTTTTGCGTGAGGTTTGGAAGATAGAAAAAATTGTGCTTATTTGTAAAAGTAATATAAATAGTTGAGCCTTTTTAAAGGAGCATGGTTATGTTAATGAGCTATCTTTATCTTGATAGCCAATATTGTTTTAGGAAGAATCGCAGTATAACGTATCTACTTGTTATTTTAACTTACAATTGTTCTGTTCCCATACTACAAGAATCTACTAATTTTTACTACGATAACGAATTTTCCTTTATGATATCGAAGAAAATAGTAAAATCTAGTAGATTCTTGCAGTACGGGAACAGATCAAATATAAGAAAGTCAGCTGGGATGTTTGTTGTGTGCTGGTGACCTTGAAAAGAAATTTGACGGAATTAATCACTCAACGTGAATAAATAAGCTGCCTCGATTTTTTATTTTTCGTCCTCAGCGTGTAACTGACATTTTCGTATGTATTTGACAGAATACAATGTATGTTAATGATTTTTTTGTTTTATTAATATTAAGAATTGTATGTCGTTTGCTTTTGCTGATGATATACAAATATTGTTTAAAGGATAAGATGTATTCATGGATGGTTTGCAGTCTTCAATCGATTTTAATGTCAATGTACAGTCATGTGGTTGTCTAATAATGACCTTTCAATTAATCCAAAGATGTATCATTTTTTCTATAAGACTCTTCGAGTTAGATTTATTCTCATTTTGTAGGTCTGTGAAGAATTCATGTTCAATGTTTGATACCTTTGTAGAGAAGACCTTTCAAGTAAGTATTGTCTCAGGACATTCAGTGGTCCCATTAAATGTTGTAAGAAAGCTCTACTTGAATATGCCAATTTGTAGGTTCTTTTATTATTAAGACTATAGATTACGAAAATCCTTACAGACTAAACCCAAAAACTACAAATATTTACCAAATTATATTGTTATATTAAGTAATATTCTAATGTTAAGTATGCTGGAGTAGTTGGTGTATTGGGGTTTCTGGAACCGATCATGGCCACTTGAATAATGAACGGAAATTCGTATATTTTGAAGGGTTTTAACAGAAAAACTTTTTAATGAGACATTTAAGGGTATTGAAGACTTACGTTCCTATGCGACGAAAACAATCATTATAGGTACATGTTTTGACATATCTCCCAAAGATTCCGCCTAATTTCCTTCAACCAAAAAACTCCAATTTTGTATTTCTATGTATCGAAATGCATTAAACACTGTAAAAACAGCCATATTAATAATTAAATTTAATTATTTTTATGGCAGCAAATGTAGTCAACACTGTACTATTGATTCATAACTTTTTTCAAATTATGTATTTTATTTATTAGTATTCTTATGTCTCGTAAATATATAAAGTGTTGGTCACGTAATTAAACCACTGTCAAAATGTTTATATTCTGAAATATTTATATTCCCCTCCACTTACACTAAAATATTCTATATTAACACAGAAAATGATTGCAGGTAATTTGTCCTAAATAACGATTTTTTACTTAATTATTTTTGTGAATTCCCTTCAAACGTGGATTCTTTCATATGAACGTTATTTACGTAAAATTACCTCCGATCATTTTCAGATTATAAATACATATATATATAATCTTTTAAAACTCAATATTAGCATGCTCCCGGTATACCAAAAGTTCTTGTGGGCAATAGACTACATTTGGCATTCAAAAGACAAGTGGCGGCAAAACAAGCTGAACTATATGCATCCCGAAATAATATGTCATGTTTCGAAATATCTCCACTGTGTGATTTCAACATTAGAGAATCATTTTGCGAATTAGCTCGTATGGCACTGCATAGAAATGGAATGGAAAGAATATGGCGAAACAATAAAGGTAAGTGGCATAATATAAATTACATAACATAAATAAAAAATCATAAATTTATATATTTGCAGTCTTATCACTACAAGAATTGTGTTGTCGAACGATTGTTAGAAGGACCAGCGTGTATGCTATAGAATCATTGCCATTGCCACCCTCTGTTAAGTCGACTTTGAAATCTTATGCACTGACAACTTCACAGTGTTTCAATACATTGAATAGCACATCAAAAAGCAAAAACCGATGTAAGACGCCTACAAGTAGCGGCCGTAACAGTTGCTGTATTACGTGATTTTATCATAATTTGTATTTAGGGAATAAATTATGCCCAATGGTATTCGTAATGCTAATAATACCCCTTGATAAGTAGTGGTAATCTTTAAATAAAGGCAATTAGAATTTGCGATTTTTTGGGCTTTATCTATACAAGTATTTATTATTATTATATTTTTTATAGCATACTAAATAATCTAAAGTTGTTAATTTCATATTTTTGTTTGTAATATTTTTTTATTATTTTATATTAATATTGAAAATTGATATGCATTGGACACAAACACATGTTTATCACAATCTAAATGGGATAATAAATTTTGAATACACATTGAAATAAGTGTTTAATTTATAACTAGGTGCGTATAGATCCATACACACTCCGCCGTTTAATATAATTTTAAAATAATTTGCCTATTAATCAAATTTAAAACAGAACTAATTTGCAAAAGTTTCTGAATTTAAGTTGGCTCTCAGACTTTGACTACAATGAATGTGGTATGTCTTATGAGAACGTTTAACCCAGAAGGTCAGTATCCAATATTTGATCAATTCCTATGCATAAAAACAATGCAATCAAAATCAACGCAAAAGACAACGACTTACATTATCGTCTTCAATATAAACTTATCCGATATGAAGTAACGTATAATAAACCAAAATCCTGAGGATGAAAACCTGACCCTGAGGAAATCAAACAGAAATTGGATACACTGGCTCCAAACACAGTTGCAAAAGTCACAAAATTCAAAACCTTGATGTCAACTTTTTTGTTCTTGGTGTCTTTATTACCAGGGGAAAAAGTTGATGAATCCTCTCACATAACACTATTAAATAGACAAGTTGTCAGCTGGGAAAAGCCGAAGAAAAAAGGTGGTGACATTCAATGTCCCAGGTGTCAAAATTGGGGACACATCTTCCAAAACTGCAATTTTCATTATAACTGCGAAAAAAAAATTTCAAAAACCTCATTTAATACAACAGTTCCAGAAACAAGCCACTCTATTCCTCGAATCTGAAGAGCTATCTCTTGATGAAGAAAATGTGTCTAAACACATTTCAAAACAACTCAAAGACAAAAGGAAAGCAAGAATTTATTACACTGTGCAGCACTAAAATCTTGAACCAATCGAGACCCCCAAAATCTTGAAGCTTGTGATGGTGGAAGAAAATCCCTAGCTGGGTTTAGCATTATTAGCTAAGGTTTTTTTTAAATTAATTTTTAAAATTAGCACAATTTTCAAATAATACGTACGTATTATAGAGTCTATATCTCGTGAACTATTTGAAATATTGCTTTTCTCTCTTAAGCAATATTTTTCCTCTTAATTAGATCTAAAAATTTTCTCTTGAGATAAAATCAATGAAACAACACCATCATACTGAAAATAGCACAACTGCAAAAAAATTAAAATTTCGACATACTTTTTCCATGTTTAATTTTTACTTCAATTTTTACATACAATTGGGAGTGAATTTCTTTGGTTCATCTTGATGAATTTGTGAGGCTATAACTATGTGAAGGAGTCAACCAATGAAATCGGGGTTTTAAGAAAAGTTGTTTGATTTGCTATTGGCTATCTTCTTGTCATATACTGTTTGGCCGCTACTGCTACTGAGTTTCTGAAAAAAGTGTGAAAAACATGGAAAAAGTATGTCTAAATTTTAATTTTTTGCAGTTGTGCTATTTTCAGTATGATGGTGTTGTTTTATTGGTTTTATCTCAAGAGAAAATTTTTAGATCTAATTAAGAGAAAAAATATTGCTTAAGAGAGAAAAGCAATATTTCGAATAGTTCACGAGATATAGACTCAATAATAAGTACGAATTATTCAAAAATTGTGCTAAAATCCGCCCCAGTCGAATATTTTAAAAATGAATTAAAAAAAAAACCTTAGCTAATAATGCAAAACCCAGCTTGGGATTTTCTTCCACCATCACAAGCTTCAAGATTTTGGGGGTCTCGATTGGTTCAAGATTTTAAAGTTGAAAAATGTGTCACTGTGTTATGCTTCTTTCCAAGGTAAAAAGTGAAAAAAATGGATTTTGTTGTTTTTCAAGAATGCCTTTAAAGATCTAACAATAAGGTATGGATTAATGGATACAATTTTATCTACGATAACTCTCCTGTTGGTGTGGCTGTACTTGCGAAGAAGAAAAACAACACCTTAAAGTACATAATTGGCTCTGTGTACACACTCGAATAAGTTGCTTCAACTTTGCAATAACTTTGACGGATTTATTCTTGGTGGTGATCTTAATTCCAAAAGCACTTTGTGTGGTGATTCACCTGAGAATTCAAATGATAAGACTTAAGGTCTTATGGTTTGTAGGCAATTTGTTGGATGTCACTCGTCTCTGTGATACATTGCCGTCGTATCCACAATTACTTTAGCATACAACACAGCATACAAACGCTTCCAACATTCTCAGATCACATCCCAATCAAACTAACATTATCATTTTATTACACAAATTTGATTCCAAGGCAAACAAAGGTTTTCAACTCGTATAACACAAATTGGAATGATTTTCATAAAGACCTAGACAATTTCACATCCTATGCAATGCCTCTAATGCACTATAGGTAATTTGGACAGTTTTTTACGCAAAAAGTCGATTTTTCAATTTTGGAAAATAATATATTTTTTGGTGGCATTTAAAAGAAAACATGTCAAAATTTTTGATTCTGTAAGATTTTTTGCGCAGTGCAAATCGTAGCCAAACTCTAAACTTTGAAAATAAAATTAATGAAATAAAAAATGTATAAAATAAAGGCGTATTTCAAAACGTTTGACACCGTTAAATACAAAGCATAAACATAAAAATTAAACATGGCGAGTATTGGCGGTGGTGTATGCTGTTTATTTAATATAAAATATTATATAATTTGTTTTTGTAGCGATTCAAAAATTACATAGTTGACTATAATAAAAGAAATGTGCTTATTTTTTACACATAAGTCATTTTAGATAAACTTTTACTAAAATGTTTGAATTTGTCTGATCTTTTGTCAACCGAAATATATTAATGAAAGCCTTCTAAATTGATTCCAATAGGTCTAAAATTGCGATTTTTTGCGTTTTTCATGATACATCATTTTTTTTGTAGGGTACTTCAGAATAAAAAACAATACAATTTTCGATATTTGGTTTGATGAAATAATTGAAAGCAAAGAAACATATTGTTGTTTACAACGTCTCCGCAAGTAAAATTGGCAATACGAACAATATGGACCGAAAATACGTCAAATTAAAAGAGACAATTTCATGCATTTGTCAAGATGTCAAGATTATGAGAAAAAAATCTGAAAATGGAGAAGAAGAAATGGCGGGCTTGAGTTACCCTTAGAATATAAACCATCAAAAATCTACTTTTCAGCATTTATTAAAAATATAAAAGTGACATGAGAGAAAATGTTGCTCAGTATATCCAGTGTTTACTATAATCGTGTTCGACTGTAGTAAGCTTGATCGCACTTTTACATATTAATAACTTTAAGGAAAATAAATGGGTACTGAATTAATCATTTTTTCAGTTTTTTCAGAGATTCGGTCATAGAAGGCTTTAACAGATAAGTTTTGAGAATTCATAATAACTATTCTCAAAAAATTGCCATAAAGATCAATAAACCGACTCTTTACGATAGAGCACAACATCTTCTTAAAATTAAACATAGGTGGCAGGAGGAGTTAAAGAATATTTTACGCCGCACAGGAAATAGGATCAGCGCCGAATATTCAATTCTCTCAAAACAAATACAGCTACTCAGAGTTATCATCAAAGAAATTATTAATACTGAATCTTGGTGATCAATTGAAAAACACTAGGGCAGGACAATCCGCATTTAAAGAAGTTGCTCAAATCACTGGAAAACATTTTGAAAAAGCTCCAAATTGTTCATGCTTCAAATTAAGTTAGGTTATTTTTTCTGCTAGCTTCTCTTCCTTCTAGTGTTCCGACTCTAGTTCTCCAATTCCAACATCGAATGCTCAAAACTTCCCATCTAGACAACAGTGTTACAGGCAGGTTTCAGTTCGCCGCAGGGGAATGATCCAAATACCTCATTCCTAATCAACCAACTTGATTGTAATGGTCTTAGGAATAAGTTAATTAAGGTCACAAACTTCTTGTATGAAAATAATATTCTCATTGCTGCCTAGCAAAAAACGAAGCTGACCAGCAATTGTTCCTTACCCTCCGGGAATTACTACATCATTCGACGAGACTGAGACCATGGTGGGTGTCTCGCATTCATCATACAGTGAGGTGTGAGAAATACCCTGACTTCCCCTCCGTCTCCTTTCCTGGTGGTTTTGAATATTTCAGTTCATTCCGACGATTCTGAAACTGAAATTGTCAATGTATATATTCCGCCCGTCAATAGCAATGGGGCCAGTTATCATCCAACCATCATCCATCTCCCCCTTCCCACCTCCTTCCAGCCTGGTACATTCCTAGACGATTCTGAAATTGAAATTGCCATGAATATATTTCGCCCATCAACAGCATTGGGGTATGGACATTTCCATAGTCAGTCCATCGCTCCTTCCGTATACTTCCTGGCAAACCAAGTACGCTTTAACCATATTCCCTTCCTGGTCACTGTAGAAAAACCCAGCGATTTGGTGGAGCCCGAAACTGGCAGACCATCACAAAATTCATTGAGGACTCCTTAAGTCCTATGTCGCAACCTATATATGCCAGAAAAGGTAAAACTATAATATTCTAAGCGACAAAACTGCTCATTCCTGGGGACAGAATTTTTCTAATGAGACTATACATCCAGGGCCTCCAAATTGGCACAGCAATGCGACCAACTTCTTGCCGAAAGCCCCGTTGAAAATTGTGGGTACCGTTATATGAGGGGCTTCCAATATAACGGGAACAAAATTTAATTTTATGTAATAAAAAAAGAGGAGGTAATTGAGTAATAGAGTTCAAATGATCCCTGAAGCAAATCTATGTTCATATATACCGTGACTGATGGTTCTGTTAAGTCAATTGTACTATTTGACGTC